CTGCACAGAGCAGAATACACTGTGAGATTGTTAATTACCAAATTTACAAACTTATCTTTCATTTTCAAGTAATATCACTAGGTATGTAATTATTAGAACTAGATAATAACTAGGCGAAGAGTTTGTACTACAAGTAATTAAATATAGAAACCTTCGTTTTATCCAATTATTTGGTTTTATCTTCAAGTTTTGTAATGACCTAAATTGGCTGGTGTGATGGTTTCTTTGAAGAATGGAGAGAGCACTTATTTGTGGGCAGACGCAGTGGGTTGCGATAAAAATGGCTCTGTGGTGCCAAAAATATTGCTTATGGCTAACTATTTTTCTTTTGAACACGTACTAAAGTCAGAGCTGACTTTTAAGAAAATGGATCGTATAAAATTTGCTGAGTATACACTATACATTTATTTTAGGCAGTTAGTCTCGTACAAACAATAATAAACGTTTTCTCGGTAATTATTAGGCGCCATTCAACAACTAACAACTGTATACAATAGAGTTTAAAACGATTTTATTCAGAGGTTTATGTAGATCTACCTCTAGATATCTTTTCAACAAAAATGGTTGGTGCGATGGCAGGGCAACCGGCTGCCGCGCAACGTATCCCGCACAGATCCACGATATAGGAGAAAATCCGAGTGTCAAGGTCATCAAAAAATACCAACCACTTCAAACTTAAACCACAATACACCGTAATAAAACACAATTTCTTTTGTCCACAGAACTTCTTCTGGGTACACTTCGAACACATCAGAAGGCTGCTTGTGATGAGGAGATGGTGACACTCATATGTCCTCGAGGAACCACTATCAGTATCCAAGTGGCGCAGTATGGAGCTTCGGCTACGCAAGGATCCTGTGCTTCAGACCTGGCGGAGTATCAGCCGGTAGCTGTTGAAGTTGTAGGAGATACGTCGTGCATCTGGCCCAGCGCTCTGCAGGTTAGATGAATTTTTGATGGCAATACACGTTTTGTTAAAGTCAAAGTCAAAATCATGTATTTAATATAGACCAGAAAGGCACGTTTGAACGTCAACAAGATATTTAAAAATGAAACTATTTGCTCATTTCTAGGTGTAGATCCCTTGCTACTGGGAAATCAATGAACCGTCTTTTTTCAACCACTAAGACTATTTGGTTTTTAATTGAAAACAGCGGTTAAACCAAGGCAAGAATTTGAAATGTATAAATGTAGGTATATGTCTATTCAAATTAGTAATCACATGTTTACATTGTTGGAAATCGAAACACTGCCCACGATTATTAACGGTAAATTAACGCTCGAATACAATTACTTACCATTTCAATTGAGAGTATATTTTTATTTTCCAACCAAATTAATGAAATGTCCTAAAATAATACAATGTAAAACCTACATGGCGTGTAGAATAATTAGATTAGATATACGCTTCATCAGCGGTTGGGTCGTCCGTTGTAATGTGGGATTGTACCCGGTTGATACAGCTGTCCATCTTCCTAAATGTAATCCCTTAATCGCCTCTTGTAATATCGACGGGATTTTATGGGGTCGCTCAAAATAAAGGCAGACCACCACTGCGTGTTGTACAAGGAAATCTTTAAACAAATCAATTAATGTTTTGAATAAAGCCTTGTTTATTGTGTCGTATTTGTAGTGGTGATTTGCACGGTTTATTCTTTCATTTATTTATTTATCATTTCATGTACACCATACAGCTGACAATATTACTGCATATCCCTTATAGGATTTCCTTCTGCAGACCTGCAGAAACAGGAAAGTAATATAAACATAAGACACAGTGTAAAGGTTGCCTGCAATAAATACAAAAGAATTCATTCGGTTTAAAATCCTCTTCAACATTTCATAGTTTCACATTGAGTAACCATATTTGAAAATCAAAACAGTTACATTTATTACTGCCAAAAGGCTTTTAAGAGAAATTTTATAAATGTTTGTATTTCTAATAAAATATTCCAATCACTTCAATCCTATCAACTCGAAGCATTCATACATCAGCGTCATTCAAATTTTATGCCTTTTCACTTGTCCATTTAGTTAAATGTCAAACATCAGACTGTTCCTTTCAACAAATTTTATTACTGTTCTGATATGTTTAGGCAATAATTCGGCTTTACGAGCAGCTGCCAATACTGCCAACTCTTCATATAACAACATTGTATGCGATATTTCTCTCGTTTCATATTTCCCTTATATTTTCTTTAGTACAACTTCAGCTTAGAAAACACAAACCTGATTTAGCTTTTGTTATTTCGTATTATTACTACAAGAAGCTTATTTTTTTCTCGAACATTCGCCGCTACGAAAACATCAAGGATTTGTTAAATGTAAAATAGCAGTTATTCTATCGTTACGTTTAATGTTTTCATATAACCCGCGATGGAATAGGAATATAATTTTATTTGCCAGTAAAATATGATTTTGGTTCAAAAAGGAGTCCTTCGATAATTTGAAATGTGTTATTTTGTCGTTACAATGCTTTCGAATTGATAAAAGGATTTCGAAATAAAACGTTGTCTGATGAGAAAATATACGGTTCAATGAAAGTGCGTCATGTTATATTTGTCAGTTTGATTATAATATCAGCCAATGTGTCTGATACAGAATGAATGAGAAAACTTCTCATTCCGTGGGCGAAAGGTTTGATTTCCCAAAGCAATTTGAACGCTAGTTATAATAATATATCATCTACATTTCATTTCAAACTTTCTACAATCTATTTTTGTTCAAAACATAAGCCTTTGAGTTAACACAAATTAATTTTACGAAAAGCAAATTTGCCCCTGATTCTTGATTCCAGTAATTATATAATTTAAACTACGTGTCCTACTTGTATGCTTGTGAAGATGCTCAGATCTTTAATTATATTTGGATAGAAAATTAGAGTACTACCTACTGCTGAAAATAGTCACGTATAATTATCCAACCCACATGTTCGAAAGTTTTCTGCTTGATAACAGTTGCAAAACTATCAAACTGGTAAATACCTTAAGGGCAAAGTAACTATGCTTTGGCCAAAGTTTGAAGAGAATAGGCATACTAACTAATTTGCGTAGTATTCCTTGTTACAGACAGTGGTGGAAGCGTGTCAGAAGAAGCGACAGTGTAAATTCCACACAAGCCCCAAGGCCTTTGGAGTCGACCCCTGCCCGGGTTCTAGAAGATTCGTTGAAGTCGCATACAAATGCCGTCCCTGTAAGTACTTACTTACTTTAGCTAATTTAATATATTAACAAACTAAACACTCTGACTATCTCAAGTGGTCGTAGTATCGAGTCAATACATATTATGTAACATACAAGAAGAGGGTATGACATTATGACCTACGAAAGTAAAAATATTAACTTTCGAATGAAATCCACGAAATGGAATCTCAAAAATGTTTCATTACAGCTACAAAATTGATGAAACTATATTTCTATTCGTCTCCCTAAACTATTTGAAAGAGCATTTTTAAAACGTTCTTGATGACAAATTCCTTTTTGATAGAAATGTGAGGAGCGATTTGAATACGATTCGATTTATTTCGATGTTGTCCTGTTGCTGCTTTTGTGAGAGAAATAACTACTATTTGTTTATGAGCACTTTCAAATGGTAAATTGATATTATATTGAATGGCTTTAGTTCAGTGATGTAGTTATGTAGTTGAGTCTGGTTTTAGCTGCAGGGTGAATAAAATGTTTTTTTTTTATGGCATAAGCCGGTAAACGAGCAGTCGGATCACCTGATGGAAAGCAATCGGCGTCACCCATGGACAACTGGAACACCAGAGGCGTTACAAGTGCGTTACCGGCGTTTTGAGGATTAGGATTTTGAGGATCGTTGGGGATTCAGGGATTGGGAAGACTGGGGAAGGGGAGGGTAATTGGGCCTCCGTTAACCTCACTCACACGACTAAGCACAACGCAAGCGTTGCTTCACGTCGGTTTTCTGTAAGGTCATGGTATCACTCCGGAATACCCGGCCCATTCGTGCCGAAGCATGGCTCTCCCACACTTGAAATGTGGCACAAAACAATTTCTTCAAGTTCATAAATTCGTACGAGAACCATTGTCAATGTGTCATTATCTTCAAAATTTGTTTACACGTCATCAAACAATTCAAATACCAACAAGAAATAACCAACTTAATGCCACAGCAATTTTATATCATTATTTTCTTCCAAAACATTATTAAGATCGCGGCGACCTTCCCTGTCTCTTATTTCTTACGTTTAATATTTCTCTTCTAAGTCTATACTATCTTCGACAATCTCATTATCCTTCCAATCTATTACTTGGACGCCTTTATCTTGGATCGAAGTCTCATCATTTCTATCTTAATTAGCATTTCCTTCAGTGTCCGGGGGCCGATTGCCAAGTAATAGTTATTTCTTTTTTAATACTTTATCTGGGGGGGTTTAAATCATCCAATGACTTCTCCCACCTTGGGTTAGGCAAGAGGAGGGTCTTATTCGATACTTAGGGTAACTGTCCACGATGCGTCATTTAACGACGACGTCCTACACAAACAATAAGCGACCTACAAATGACAAATGCTTACATCTTGCTTAGAAATAATGAAAACTGTCCCTAAAGTTGAGTCCGCCTATCGTTTTTGACGAATGTATGCATTTGCCAAATTACTTAACGTGGGCAGTAAGACCTTAAGTTTAACAAATAGTGCTGTTTTGATAGAATAGGACAAAGTTAGAAATTGTTTCCGATAGTATGGTAATTAGCTCACTTGCCTTGCCATACATAGGATTCATAACATCACTGACATACAGGGTATAAATGGAACGCTCCCAAAAAACGTCAAGAGGTGATGGTAAAAATTAGTTTTATTCTCACAAAAGTAAGAAATAAAATATTTCTTTTATGTAATACTAATTGTAACCAACCGTTCCAGACCAATTTTACATGAATAGCAGGAAAACCAGACACGATTAAAATTGAAAAATAGTTACTTTTTGTCAGCGACTCGGGAGCGTTCCGTTAAACTCTGTATATGTATAATATATATAACTGATACATACAACACTATCTTTCTACCTCTTTATGGAATAAACGGTGTGTATGTGTCGTTACACATAATACTACGTTTAGTATTTTAACATATTTTTCTTGTTCACAGACGAGTTCCGAAGTAAAGTTGGTTGTGAGAATGATGTACTGCACTTAAGCTGCAATCCTCACTCGAGGGTTGCAATATACTCAGCTCAGTATGGAAGAACGGAATATGACTCAATTCAATGTCCACAGCCACGAGGGATGAAGGAAGAAAGTAAGTATTGAATAGAATTATAATAGTAGTAAATAAAAAAAAATATGGGTATTGATTGTCAGGAAGAAAAATTTGTTGATTTTGTGCTACTGTTTGTATCACACAATATATAGAAGTTTACACCATCAAGATAGGTCTTTGTTGAACTTTTGTTAGTCAAAACACAAATAGTACAAAACTGGTCACCGTATTTTTCATATCAGTTTCGTCAGTTTAACTTGACGACGTTGAATATCTAATATAATGATATCAGAAACCATAAAAATCAATTGTATTTTTAAACATATAATGTTGTATTTTTGTTTAAAACAACCTCTGACCTCTTTAATAATATCGACGTAAAATCTGACATTGTAATAATACATATATCAACAAAACGGAAACATTTTCTTACCGAAATCTGTGCCCAATAGTAGAAAATCAATATCAATGCGAAGAATATATTATTTGGTTCGCCCTACAATACCAAAACATTAATACGACAGTTAGCAACATCGTAAGCTGACCCTAAACGCTTCGAGCATTTCTTTTTTTATCCATTATCTACTTTTCCTTTTCGTCACCGAACTCAATTCACCTGAAAAACTCATCTCGTTGTTTCTAATCTGTTTTGTTTCTTTCTTCTAACATTTTGTCCCAGTATTTTTGTTTCATTTTCACGCGTCTCGAATGATGGATGAACTGCCATCGATTCTATTTTTGATGTACATCGGGAATTGATTTCAACGTCACAAGTAATATTGATTCAAATGAATCTGTTTTTGACATACATAAATGTTAGTTAAAATATTAGTTCAACCACTGATTCAGACACTGCATTTGTATAACAGATGCAAAGGCCGATCATTCATCTCCACTGTCATTTACCTTCACTGTTCAATTATTCGCTTTGTATATTCATTCACTCTTGTCAAGTATGACTAATCTGCTACTGAGGAGAATGGAAAATACTTTACCGATATTTGCATAAATAAATAGAGATTAAATGCTCTTGTAATGTAGCAATATAATATTACGACGAACAATAGACGGTGATAAAAAATTAATAAGGACAATTTAGTACTTTTATCATCTCAAATTCATTCTGAAGGAAACCTAATTTCGAAATGAAAGCGTTCCTCGGTCGGAATCGCTAATTTAATTTTAACGTGTAAATTCAGCCCATTGAAGCCTGTTTATTGAATAAATTATTTAGATTCTTACGTTTTAGAAACGTAAGGATAAGCGGATCCGAATAATACTCCAAAAGTACTCTAAATGTTTAGAATTTGCATTATTCGATTGTAAAAATTTTAATCTTGCTCGATGTGGATTTTAATGAATTTTTAACTGCATTATACAAATCCTTATGTTTTTTTTTATAACAGTAAGTATTTGTTTCATTACACCAAAAGTATTCGAAGAATTTAATTGTTAAGTAATATTTTTTATAAGTTTGTTTAAAAGCATTAAAATATAGAGCCCAACGAGCAGATGACCGACATAACTGTTTTATTGCGTTTGACCGACTTACTATTTGTAGAAAACACAATATAGAAGTTGCTTCAATTGTTTACAGTAACTACAAAGACCACGAGTACAATAGAACACGGTATCAATCGATCAAAACTTAATTAAACACAATTTCAATGAATACCAAACGGTTCACTTTTTAAATTCACAAATACAACAAATCTATGTTCGTGACATTTGAATGACATGGCAATTTAAACATTTGAATTCGGAATACTAAAACAAAACTGCGTTCGAATATTAAATCAAATTATCCGTCCGAATATTCATACAAACACAACCGTTCGGTTGCTCATTCTGGAAGCGTCTCTCTAATTTTAGTTGGGCAAACGGCACCCCATTCTTTGGGAAAGTGGATAGGCACATTATTCAACCCTAAGTGAGCGATAAACGGGGGCTGGAAAACATGAAATCGATAATGACCCTCATTATAAGTACTGCCCATCTTATGTAACTGAAGCATTTCCAGTTTGTTGCCATATTTTTGGCTATGATAGACAACTTAATGAAACAATTTTATGGGAAAAATTTCGCTCTAAATTTTAAGGATCTTTAAGTTAAATAAAATAGGTGACATTTAACGACATGTCGGTTTTACAACCTATAAATGATATCAAACAGTACAAGGGGTTAGTTTATAGTTTAGGTGGTATGTTATGGTAAGTTAAGAGTAGGTAAGAGATGGTATACCTAGGATTGGTGGTTAAAAACGTCCATTAGACCACATTTTAACGGAACCATGGTTTTGTTTTACAAATAACTTTTACGATATAATTTTGTCAAATATCATTGTTGGCTGAATAATGTCCGTACGCTATCCGCCACAATTATTCAAATTTTAACTAAAATCGGGTCGTAATTACGGATTCATCGCTTTTAAATAACGCGGTGTTGGTTACTCTTTACCACTTTAAATAATAATTTGTTGGTTTCATTTCGATGCGTAGTTTTAATTATTTTGATGTCCTTGTATTCGATATTTTACTGAAAACTATCAAGCGTTATAATCAAATCAATAAATACGTTCAATAGTTGAGTGCACACTTATTTAAAGCTTCAACCACTCAGAAGCATTAAAAGTCTTTATGGCTCTAAACAAACTTCGTTTATTTTAACCAGAACAAGTTTAAGAGAGAAATTAACAAAATACTTGGAACTAATCCTTATAGGGTTTAATCTAAACAAATTTGATGGTTAATAAAATCTTTTTTCTCAGCTTGCTTGGAGCCATATGCCACGGAGACTGCCATGAGAGAGTGCCACGGGAAAAGAAGATGTGTTCTCGCCGCAGACAGTAACATGTTCGGCAAGCCCTGCCGAGCTGGGAGTCGAACCTATCTCAAAGTTGTTTACACTTGCGGTAAGTCCATGAGAATGAGATAATGTTTTAAAACTCGTAAGTCGAGCAATTAAGTCGTAAACAGCTTTTAAACAACGTGCAGTTTTAATGGACGCTTTTTTGGCCACTTTTTTATGGTCGAAACTGTAATGCGTGGATTGAAGTAAGGGTCTGTGTAAGTTTTGAGCGGTTTTTAGGTATTATGTTTACTTGTTTAAATTGATGTAACTTTATCCTTTTTAGCTAGGTACCCTGACTTATGTTATACATCAAATTGGATTCGGTTTTTACTTAAAAACTACGGAACCTTTTTATACACACATAACATCACGCCTTTTATCCCCAAAGGGGTAGGGAGTGGTGTACATTATGCCACTGTACAATGTAACACCCACTTTTCACTATTTATGTTATGAGTGCCATGTAATTGGGGGTGAGCCTATTGCCATATACCGGGCACAATTCCAGACTCCGTGTTACTACTGAAAATTTATAAAAACTCAGTAGTACTTTGACAGGAAATCAAACCCGAGACCCCTTGCCCGGCAGTCGTACTTGCGACCACTTGGCCAACGAGGCAATCTGCCTTTTTATATAAAAAAGTAATATAACCCAGTGAACTGTACAATCTTGTCAATAATTCATTACATTGTCTCAAAATATTAATCATTTGATTAACTAGTTCAACATCCCGAGAATTAATACACTTTCAAACCATCACATAATTGCTAAATCAACACTAGTCTTGTCTGCATCTAGAGTACAAACAACAGCTAGAGACTAGCACTACAAACAATCTTCCAGCAATATTCCAGTATAATGCTTGCTAGACAAATTGTTTCTCCCGTAATCCTTTCAGCTCTTACCACTCCCTAAGGTACACTTACATAGATTACTAATCGTTACTTGTATTAAATTTAAAAATAATGTCTTAGAGCTAACACAATGTAAAGAGAAGAAACGAAGAAATTTAAATTAAAATTACTTTAAGAAAACATACATACGTAACTTTACGCCTGTCTCCCATGGGGGTAGGCAGAGACTATGGAATGCCAATTGCAATGATTCTTACATATCTCTTTCGGTTCAAACAAAGGTTGAAAACAATTTTTAATATACACCATGCTTTGTTATAAGGTTACTCTTGGTAAACATCACAAACTACAATATTCAAACAAAAATTCTATTGAAATCTAAAATCAGTAAGTAAGTGCTAAACGCACAAGGACCGACCTCTTCTATCTATAGTCATACTCCTATAGAGGTTTATCACCGTAAAAAGAAAATGTGGTACAAGTCAAATGGTGTCACAATTCCTGTCTCTTAGCAAGTTATTTAGCAGACAATTCGTTGAAATGAAATCATAAGGACGAAATTTCTAGAAACGGTTACTCAGCCAAACACGACACCGCTACACCAGTGTTAACAGCTCTACAAGTAAACACTGCCAGAAATTCTGGGAATCCTAGTAATTCGCAGTGAAAACACGAAAGATATATTATCTTGCAACAATACAGAGAACCAGAATCCTCTTGCAAAACGAATTGTTTTAGGACCTTCGTACTTACATTATTGTCACTTGAGACCAGTAAAATGTACAAGCAAACAGCGCCACGGGGCGAATGCTAGTTACTTATTAATATTTATGAACAACTGCCGACATTATTTCAATCTGAGATCTCCATTCCGTACATAGATATTGCCGCTGTAAGTTATTAAGTGAGTTGAAAGTATTAATACAAATAAGAGTTGTTAAATTTGTTTACAAAACAATCTATGTTTTATTAGACTGAAGTAAAACAAACCCTCGGCTTACTGTTATACTGTTAAGAAAGTTATTTCTCGTCGATCAGTCAAAAAGTTATTTTTTTGTTATTTTTAATATTTTTTTCGTTTCCTCTCTCCTTTGTTTCCTTGTCAAATGTTTATTTATTATGGGTCAGCTGGCGGAAACGTTTCTTTCGTTTGGAACCGCGGTTCCGTAAATCACGATTTGCGTTGTTATTTCATTTTGTTTCGACGATTTGCAAGTTATTGTTTTCTTTTTTGCGATTTATTTTAATATTCTATCGCCGAAAGCTATTTGATCCGGTATCTCCCCGCATCCGGCTCGATAAAGCGGTGAAATTTAACTTTCTATTAATAAAATATGATCTTGAATGAGTCACGTATTGTAGATTTTGTGTAAGACACGAAAATGAAGTAGTTATAGGTTCACTCGCCTAATATTTGCATTTTGTATGCATAGAACTTTGAGCTCCATTTTGGAAAGTATATGAAATTAAATTTAAAATTGCATTAATTTCAAGTTCTGTCATAACACAGGTTTATTGTGATAAACGTAACCGGCAATAAATAAATGCTACATTTAAATACTTCTTAAGAAAAATAAAAGGCGAAGTACAATAATACATATCTCTTTCTATGCCAGACATTCATATTCAATTTTACGTTAACTTGTCTTGGTGAAACTTAATTCTCTGGTACAGAATTATACAATTTAGGATCCTCCGTCAGACTGTGTCCCTTAAGTTCTAAAATATAATCTAACGAGTTCTAGTTTCAATATCAGACCCTTAACTAAACTAAGCTCTAGTCTAGTCTAGTCTAGTCAGATCTCGTTAGTAATCTGTTATTTAACCACATAAACTTATGCCTTTGTGTGGTTCGGCAGGAACTACAAACTACTGCGCACCATTTCTGTTCCTTGCAAACTTTTTTTTGGTTCGTACATAATTTTATTCATGCACTTGGAAGCAAAGTATAGTAGTAATTAGCTTCTGTCAGCGATTTCGCCCGCAGTCACGTGGTATATCGAAAATAGCCTTTGTGTTATCCTTAGTCAGTAAGAGTCTGACACTCCTTCCCGCCTCACCCAGCCGGGAGCAATCATTAGATGATTTTCCCCGCTTAAAAAAAAGTCCATAATCTACCCCTGTATGTAATTGACGTCTAAAAGTGCTGCATTGTGGCCTATTTGCTTAACCCTTTGAGTACCGTCATTATAGATACAATTAAAGAGCAATAGGTTGCGGTCACCGGTGTCCTCGCGGTGTTTGACAGTTTAAATTTAGTTGTTTCCAAATTTCAAATCTATCCCTTCAGCCATTTTGACATGAATGAGTAACAAACAAACAAACACACTAACTCACAAACTTTCTCATTTATAATATTAGTATAGATCCGATACCTACTACTTACTTCTTATAATCTTTATATTATATCTTTCGTGATACATAATAATTAATTTATGATATGTTTTTATAATATCGTGAGACATACTAAATTAACTAAAAATGGCGGGTTACTCACGTGTATATACTGAGAAAAGCTCTACTAATTTCGAACCACAGGGAAGTTCTTCCTCATGAGCTTTTCTCAGTATATTCACGTGAGTAACCCGCGATTTTTAGTTAATTTATGATAGTCTTTTTGAGTAAAATCTTACGAAATAGTATCCCAAAAACCAGTACATTATTTACTTACTAGTTTTTTAACGAAATGTATGAATAACTCACTATACGACTGTACTTATCAATAAAGGGACCTAATTATAAGATTGTCACTTCTCACAAAAGACTGTAGGATAAGGTTTTTCTTACGAATTTAATGAAAACAATGTCCTTTTAAGTTCCTAAAGTGAATACGCACTTTCCCAATTTCCGGCCCATCAAATATTCAAGAGGCACAAATGCGAGTACTTATACCTGACATCTTTCAATCACTGATTTTTTTACTTTCAATATTTTTCTCGAAAGAAAGATTTGTATGTATATTGACTTGATTTCATGGAAAACTGTTTCACTGCCGAGTTATGATGTTTATTACATAAATTTATAAAAAATATATCATTGTTGTTGTAAAAACATCGTTCATGTTTTTCTACGCAGTAGTTATTAAAATTGACTGTCTCGTTGGCCGAGTGGTCGCAAGTGCGACTGCCGGGCAAGGGGTCTCGGGTTCGATTCCCAGGTCGAGCAAAGTATTATTTTGGTTTTTAAAAAAATCTCAGTGATAGCACGGAGTCTGGAATTATGCCCGGTATATGGCAATAAGCTCACCCCCTATTACATGGGACTCATAACATAAACTGTGAAAAGTGGGTGTTACATTGTACAGTGGCGTAATGTGCACCTCTGCCTACCCCTTCAGGGATAAAAGGCGTGATATTATGTTATGTTACTTATTAAAACTAACTTCTGACAGTGGTTTCATCCACGTTCCGGTGGCATAATATTGTATCCTATGTGTTATTCTATATATTCCAGACTTTATTCTATCCTTGTTCCAAATTAATTTCATTCCTATTCCTTCAGTTGTTTTGATGTGATTGCGTGACAACACACAAACTTTCATGACATCAGTTGATTGTAAAATTTTTATTTATTTTGCCTATGTAAGCGTGTATTCTTCTGCTTATCTTTATCTCAAGATGCTTAGGTAATATGAAATGCGATATAAGCGTATTGACATACATCAGAAAGAGTACGTATATTTACCTTATAAAAACGTAGTGGTACAGTACCATGAAACACGATTCTGTCAGGCGTATGAATATCTTGTTACCATATTATGTTCATCTCTGGTTACCACCCCGCAAAATACAGTATGTTATTTATTATTACTCCACTATCAGTGCGTATGTCAACAGGGCGGTCCGTATTATGCAATGTTGGGTGCTCAGTAACGAGTGTCTTCGAGCTTACTGCCTCAACAAACATTTGAGCCGCAAATTTTCCCTTGTCGAGGTTAGCTTGCGTAGACCCTACATTTTTAATTAACGCAGGATGAATATAGCGTTGATTAATTGTTTAGTACAATAATAATTATATTTACTAATGCGATGTTCGACTTATACTAAAGTTAAAAAGAATTTACCATGAACGCAAAAAAGACAAAAATGGGGGTCACTAGCTGTTGCCAAATGATATAATACCTAAACCACAATTCGTCAGATCAAATCAAGGTCAATTTGAGTAGCTTAGATAGCAGAGAAGATTATTTTGGACATAGTCTCAAAC